CTTACCACACACATTGCAAATGCTGTTCGCTGAGAGCTCTGAATTATGCAATGTTGTGGCCACTGGTAATGATGGTGCTGGCAGCCTGAGTGGCACGTTGACGGCTGGCTGAATATCACCAGCTGACCAGTGGCACTGACAATTGGTAGGTGTCCGGGTGTGTATGTCGGCGACGGAAATAACATATTTTTAATGGACATGAAGAAACGCCGCCTTGGTGCAACAACACAGTGGATTGAGACTTTGCTTGACCGCTTTCCATGACTAAATCATAGATGCCGCACACGAATGGAATGGTAGGTTTCAGCTTATTACTTCATGATTTTTCGATGAGCTGTACACATTTTTCCTCCCTACCTTGCTGTCAGCTCATTTTGTCTTGGTTTGTTCTCCAATCTGATGTATATGATGAGTTGAGCTTTTACATGCCTTGAGGTCTCCCTCGTGCTCTCATAAAGAGGCTTTTAGAATTGATGTAGTTATGCATGTATGATTAAGACACTTTCGGCTATGCTGGTGCGTCGCAGCTCCTGATTTCAGCAGCCAGAAGCGAATTATTGTCGAGCCAATGCTGGTTATTACAGGTGTTTGCTTACACGGCCTTTCTGCCTGAAGTGATGAAAAATGATATCTGATTGTACTAATCCAGCTGAGCTTAGACACGACACATGGTTTTTGGCGAAGTAATTTACACAGTCACATTCCGCCTCCCACTCTCAAGCCCTGCTAACACCGGAATGCTGATGTGTGGCTTGTGAGGCGATTTCCCGCGTCGTTTTTCGCCGCGCAAAGAAGAAAACATGGCGACTGTTGGTGGTGCCACTTTGCATTTTTTCGGTTCGGTAAGATGACTTGTTTGCCAGGATGTCAAAAGGTCCAGTCCATAGTTTCGGGTGAGATTTGGGTAGAAAGAAAACCCAAACAACATACTTATCTGCTCCCACCTGTCTTCAGCATTTGCATTTTCAAATGTTTTGATGCCGCCCAGTGGATGTGCATTTTCCAGCATTCTGATTGTCATGCCCTCCCTGCTACAGACGGTGCGCTGTCAGACGCCCGTCGGTGAAGGGATTGTCATGCCCTCCCTGCTACAGACGGTGCGCTGTCAGACGCCCGTCGGTGAAGGGATTGTCAGGCCCTCCCTGCTACAGACGGTGCGCTGTCAGACGCCCGTCGGTGAAGGGATTGTCGTGCCCTCCCTGCTACAGACGGCGCGCTGTCAGACGCCCGTCGATGAAGGGATTGTCATGCCCCCCTGCTACAGACGGCACGCCGTCAGACGCCCGTCGGTGAAGGGATTGTCATGCCCTTCCTGCTACAGACGGTGCTCTGTCAGACGCCCGTCGATGAAGAGATTGTCAAGCCTTCCCAGCTACAGACAGTGCGTCATCAACTGGTCGCAGAAAAACTCGAGGCTGCTGTTGCTTGCGTGAAAACGGTCCCTGTGTCGCGTTCAATCACCGGAAATTACTCGCCAGGGGAGGCTGCTAAGACAGCAGCACTCCATACATCAGATGACTTTACGTGGATCCCTGCTAGTGGCCGGGTGAGCTGAGAAATAAGCCTCAGGCTACCAACCCACCTGGAGCCTGGTTTATGACGTTTCTTTGTCTGAAAGGTCTGGAAGGAGGAGTTATTTTTCACCGGCCTCCACACCGGTCGTGCCATGTTACCCACAGATTCCACGTGGCAAGCTAGAGAGAGGAGCTATGTGTGGTTTGTGCGATTTGTGCGCTGCCTAGCTGGCATCTCAAGCGAGAAGCGAGAAGTGAGGAGTGTGAAGATCCACACCATCTCTGCGGTTCGTCCATGTTAGATTTGCAAGCACCATTACGTAACTCACTGTGGAAGGCGTTCCACCCAGACGGCACGTTTCAAACAAGTTGTTCCGCGAAAATGCACGCCGCGAAACACATTGCTCAGAAATTGAGCAATTTAGTCGCGATGCTAACACACGCAAACATGGTGGGTCGTCAAAAAGTAATGCGTCCGCCCAACCATTCGCTGATTGGTGGGTCTCGATTCTAGACCCAGGTATCAGACTGGAAACAAAAACACCGAGGGGCACTATTTTCAGGAAGCCCGTCTTACGGCCGCCGTTGGTTTTGCCGAGTGCGTTGGACGGCAGCAAAAAGGGTGCTCGTTCTGGAGTGCATTTTGTCTGTAGATGGCTAATTGCCACGTGCTTTTTCACTGGGGCGGCATTCCCAGGTCGTCGCAACGGAGGTGCAAATTGCAGAGTCATTGGTGGTGGAGGAAACCGTCCGTGAGTGATCCACATGTTGTTGGGCGCCTCGGACGCTACTGTGCAGCCCAGCGCCGCTATTAGGCCAAGACTGCTCGTTGCTTTGTCGCCGGTAGTGTTATCGCTGTTGCATCGCAGTTGCGTTTTTGCTGTTTCATCACGTGATTGCCGTCACTGTGGAGGTTGCAAACACATTAATGTCCCTTTTTCGTCTTGCCCGGTTGGTGCCTCCCGATTTCTATTTGGGCCTTGCTTGCTATGTCTGTGGCGCCGGTTTGCCTGCCCTGAATTCCGACCAGCAAAGGCGCTGGGAAAATAGGTGATGGGTCTGACAGTATGCACAGGCGAATCCTCAGCCATCCCGAGCTCACAGGAAGCGCTTCATTCCCACCGCGGTGCAGCCATCGCTCCGACATTGCCATAATTTATCGCGTGGCGTAGGACGACGTCGTGCGCAAGTCGCCCGAGACCGACGAGACATTTCCCTCCACCGCTGTGGCGTGTTCCGTACCTGCAGGCCCTCGCTCTCTGGACAGGCTTGAGGGCACTGAACTGTACTGACGGAGCTCGCACAGGCCTCAGATAAACTCGTAACGCCGTGGTTTGATCGCCCTCAGTAGCTTCTGGCAACCAGGCCGAGCGCTGAGCTGTCAGCCATAAGACCAGCGTCGGTCGCAACACGCCCGAACCGTCTGGCAATCCGGCCGAGCGCTGAGCTCTGTGTCAGTCATAAAACCAACGTCGGTCGCAACACGCCCGAACCGTCTGGCAACCCGGCCGGGCGCTGAGCTCTGTCAGCCATAAGACCAGCGTCGGTCGCAACACGCCTCAACCGTTTCTCGCATCCAGTGTGGTGTCGCTTGCGGTGATGTAGTGGACTGGGTCTCGCAGAGTTTCGGTTCGGAGACGAATGGCAAAGTGACGACACCGACATGCACAGTGCTTGGAGAAGGAACGACGGGAAGGTCGACAGCAAGAATCGATGTGCACGCCGTGCCTGAACCCGGGATCTGGCCCCTCTCCTTCGTGGTCCACATTAATGCACTCCAAACCCCGACGTCGTCGCTGCGTTAGCCCGTTGCTGCGTTACGTCGTTGCGTTAGCCCGTCGCTACGTTACGTTGCTGCGTTAGCCCGTCGCTGCGTTACGTTGCTGCGAACAGCTCGTTGCTACGTTACGTTGCTGCGTTAGCCCGTCGCTGCGTCATGTCGCTGCCATCAGCCCGTTGCTGCGTTACGTCGCTGCGTTAGCCCGTTACTGCGTTACGTCGCTGCGATTAGCCCATTGCTGCGTTACGTCGCTGCGTTAGTCCGTTGGTGCGTTACGTCGCTGCAGTTACCCCATTGCTGCGTTACGTCGTTGCGTTAGCCCATTGCTGCGTTGCTGCGCTGCGATTGCCCCATTGCTGCGTTACGTCGCTGCGTTAGCCCATTGCTGCGCTTCGTCGCTGTGATCAGCTCGTTGCCGCGTTACGTCGCTGCGTTAGCCCGTTGGTGCGTTACGTCGCTGCAATTAACCCATTGCTGCGTTACGTCGTTGCGTTAGCCCATTGCTGCGTTTCGTCGCTGCGATCAGCTCGTTGCTGTGTTGCTGCGCTGCGATTAGCGCGTTGCGCTCGCGGTTGCCTCGCTTGCCGCGGGCTGGATTTGCGTGGCAGCAGCAGTGAATGTGACCAGTTTGCGCGGCCGTGAACTGACCGGCGTCCCGTTCTGAATTGTGTATTGGGTCAGACGGTCAGCTCGGCGTGGTCTCGCGCAGGCGGCGGCGGGGTCAAGCCGGGGACGAGACGGGTTCGAGCGGGGGACGAGCTGGGAACGAACCGAGCATGGGCGGTACCAGGCATCTGTCTTTCTTCGTAACTGTAATGCAATGAAGAAAACATTTCATTCGGCTATGACACAGCGCATAGCGACAGCCGTCAAAGACGAAAGGATTTTGAGCAAAAAGACGAGGACTGTTGAGTAGTTCTGGTCTGTTGAGTACTGGACATCATAAACCGAGTCCCTTCGTAAACGTTGATGAGACACGACCGCGATCAGTTACACGTCAGTTAAACACGGCGTACGCACTTCTCTGTGCTGACCACCGACGGTCGCGCTGCAGTCGGTCACCACCATTAAACACGGCACACGCACTTCTGTGTTGACCGCCGACGGTCGCGCTGCAGTTGGTCACCACCGTTAAATACGGCACACGTACTTCTGTGCTGACCGCCGACGATCGCGCTGCAGCTGGTCACCACCGTTAAACACGGCACACGTCTTCATGTATCGCCCCCTTCATGTCTTCGCTGTGTCAGCTTGCTTATTGCGATCTCTGCGTGCTTTTGGTTCGATGGTTGCTCCAGACACCGTTGGTTTCGCGGATTGGTTCTTCGGAGTTTCGCACTGTGATGTTTCGGCGTTCATTCCGGTATGGCGCAGCAGCGGGCCATGGCGGCTCCATGTCATGTCCCATCCCCATGTCAACCGTTGCCACTGGAGTCCGTCTCGCACCGCCTCTGGGAAATCGAATGTGCTCACGCGTACCCAAAGATGCCGCCTCTGGAGGTCTGGTGTAGTCACGGACGCCAAGCACCACCGCCTTCGAATGCGGGGGGAGGGGGCGTTTGCGGCACCACCGCGCTGTCGTAACGTGTCGATCACGACCGGCCCGTCACGTGACGGCTGCGCTCTTCCCCGGGGCCCAGTTACTCTGTGTCGGCCGGGGCGTCCGTCTGTGAGCCGTGACCGCCGGCCGTCCTGCGCGCCGGCAGGTTCAAGCACATGCAGGTCCGCGTACACGCCGAGGCTCTGGGCTTTCAAGGCTGCAGCGCTGTGGAGGAGCACCGCTGCAACCGGCGGCTGAGTGCACTCGTCTCCACGCAGATGTCGCTCTTCAACCGGCGCTTCATGCTCACCGTGGTGGTCAACCTGTTCGACTACCTGGGCGGCATTCTCAACTACCTGGTGATCTCGATCCCGATCTTCGCCGGCCTGTACGACGACCGCACGCCGCAGCAGCTGAGCGCGCTCATCAGCCAGGTGCGTGGCCGCCCGCCGGCCGACTGCGGGCGGAAGGCACGGCGCGTGCGCCAGCGGCGCTGCCCGGACGGAACCCAACCGACTGCGTGGGATTCATGTTTGGGCCGCCTCTCAGCGGATCACCCTCTCGTCACGCGCGGGAGATGTGGTGTGGGGCCTCTCAATATCTTCGACTAGCTCCTCTCTGTGATAAGTGGAACGGCTCTAAGTGCCACCTGAGTAGAATTCTACAACCTCTCGTGGACTGACTCATTGTCGAATTTATGTACAACACGCTTTGCGACAGTAATCCGTACAGATGTTGGATTTCGATGGTGAAAATTTGCGTTTGTGCGCTATTAAAGAGCGAAATGTCACTGGATAACCGTCACCGATAGGACAAAGAATGCTTGTTAGGCCCGGGACAGCCCTCCCAATCTTTCCAAACGCCACCAGTATGGCAGCAGCAGTGGCCGAGCCCCAATGTTCCATTAACGCCTGTCCGACAACTGAGGTTTCGTCGACGTCCCCTAGGTGGCAGCACCACAGACGGGGCCGCGTGCCGGCGCCGCGTCTCACGCTAAGCTCCGTTTCAGAACTCGTTCGTCTGCATGTACCTGATCTTCAACTTCACCCAGCTGGTGGACCTGGCGTCCAGCGCCACGGACGTGGTGGGCTGCACGCACCGGGTGGGCCAGCTAGTGGAGCGGCTAGCGGTGCTGGAGCAACGGTGGAAGAGCTCGCCGCACACCCCCGACGAAGACACGAGCGGGGGGTAAGAGGCAGACCCGGAGATGGGACACGGACCGTGCTGGCTACCACTCTATCCTACCATCCATTGCCCCTGTTTTGTGTCTTGCTGGTTTGATTGATTGCGTAAACGTCATTGAGGTTCGTTTGTTTGGAAAGATGTGGCTTTGGCTCCACGGATGAGGCACATGCTGAAGCCTTCTCTTGTCGTTGGCTTTCTCACGGACATGTTTTATGACGGGAACCCGTTGGTCCTGTGAGGCGGTCCCAACGCGCCGCAGCCCTCCGGAGCCCCGACACATGATCACAGAGCGGTGCTCCCGGCAGCGCGCCGCCCGCCGCAGACGACCCGCAATACGACACGCCGTACGCGCTCTCGAAGGTGAGCGTGTGCGTGCCGGGCGCGCGGCGCACGTTGGTGACGGCGCTCTCGCTGACGGTGCGCCGCCACCGCTCGCTGCTCGTCACTGGAAGCAGCAGCTGCGGCAAGACCAGCGTGCTGCGCGTGCTGCGCGGTCTGTGGCCACCGGCGACCGGGCGCCTGCAGCGCCACCTGCGCCCCGGCCCCGGACACGTGTTCTTCATGCCGCAGCGGCCGTTCCTGACGGACGGCTCGCTCCGGCAGCAGGTCAGCGCCCCCTCCGGGCGGCCCGCCGCGCGAGAACCGGCGACACGCGAGAGAACGACTGGCGGTGGCAATTTGTTTTGTGTTGTTGCCTTATGTACGCGCTGTGTGCTGCAAATGCCAACAAAAAGCATTTAAACAGAGCGGGGAGCTGGGTTTGTCATCGCCGGGCGGTAAACGATTGATTGCCATAGGTCCGCTGTACTGAAAACAGTTTTCACAAAACAGCCTTCTACACGAAAACGCAACTCAATTTGACGTTCGCTGGCGATCTTCGCCTTCGTTAGCTCTGTCACAGATACGTTGTACCTGGGGTTGAGCTTCGTGGCGGCTCATGTCCAGTCGTCACTGGGCTGGTGGGCCTGACTGTAGTGCCGCTTGCTCCAGATCGTGTACCCGGAGCGGCTGAAGGAGGGCGGCTACACGGTGTCGGAGACGGAGCGCATGCTGCACTACCTGGAGCTGGTGCAGCTGAGCAGCCTGGCGGATCGCTGCGGCGGTCTGGACTCCGAGGTCAACAAGAACTGGTCAGTGAGCTGGTCTTGTGGCCGGCACACGACTCCGCGGCGGCCGCCTGACCGCGCCGGCGCGCGGCTTGTGCCGGGAGAGTCTCTGTGGATAGTGGAGTCGGGAGGGGGCGGACAGAGCCAGCCAGATCAGATCAGATCAGATCAGATCAGATCAGATCAGATCAAACCAGATCAGATCAGATCAGCGGCCTCATGGGCATGGTCATGATTTGATGCTGGAGATTGCCGATTGGTGGTAGGAGTAAACTGGCTGATACGCGTGCTTTTCAAAATTGGGCGGACGTTATTTTACACAGCTGTATATATGTGCGTATCTTTATGCGTGTCATCACGCTACGGCATGTAGTATGGTGTTATTGCACGTGACGTCATGCCCGTGGTTATGCTGTGGCCGTTCCAGAGTGTACGGCGAAGACCTCTGAACGTTGGGCTTACGTCTTCGCCGCAGAAGTGGCGCGCTGTCGCGACCGAGCTGTACGTGTTGACCATGTCGTCAGGCCGGCTCGGCCGCCGCGGGCCGAGCTGTACATCTTGACCGTCTCGGCCGCCGCCGGCCGAGCTGTACGTTCTGACCATCTCACCGGGCCGGGTCGGCCGCCGCCGGCCTCCAGGTACGACATGTTGTCGCCGGGCGAGATGCAGCGCCTGTTCTTCGTCCGGCTCTTCACCACCGGCCGGTGTTCGTGTTCATGGACGAGGCGACCAGCGCCGTCAGTCCCGACATGGAGGAGATCCTGTACCAGGTGGGGCGCGTTCTGTGCAAGGTGGCAAGAGACCTTGTGGGGGTGGTTTGTATAAGGTGGGTATATCCTGCACCAGTTGGGGAGATTGTGTACCAATCGGAAAAATTTCGTGCTAGTTTGGGGGCATACTGTATCAGGTGGGGACATTCTGTACTGGTACGAGATATCCTGTACCATGTGGTGAATATTCTATGCCAGGTGGGGAAGATTGTATACCAGGCGAAGGGCCAGGTGGGGTAGATTCTATTCCAGGTGAGGGGCGGTCAACCAGCTCGCGGCTGGACGTGGGTGGTTGTTCCGTGAAAAGGCAGGGTTCATCGGTTCCTTTTTTGAAGCGGGATGGTTTTTCGGCGGCTGTACACTTTCCAGCATTACAGGGCGTTGGTGCTGATACTTTGTTTTTCACGAAGCGCGATATATCTTGTTGGTTCGTTGACAGGCTAGCAGTAGACTGCTGGCAGGCAGGCAGCACGAAAGCCCAGTTTCCCACATTTCGCGTCATATTTCCCAGGAATGTTTGCGGCTGAAGATGACCTTGTTCAGCGTTGGACACCGTGAAAGCTTAACCGCCTACCACGACTGGAAGCTGCACCTGTTTAATGACGGCACCTGGAGACTGGACCCGATCGAGCACGCGCTGGCGGCATCTGTCCGTGAACACGGCAGGCGGAGCTTCCGTAGTCTTCCGCTGGAATAAGTGGTTCAGGATCATTCTGTACCGCGTTCTGTATGATTCGATATGGCATGTGATGGGGAGAACCATCATTGCCAGATGATTCAAAACAGCAAGTGATGGGGAGAACCATCATTGCCATTTGATTCGAGACAAGTGATGGGGAGAACCGTCATTGCCAGTTGATTCGAGACAAGTGATGGGAGAACTGTCACTGCCTTTTTAGCTGTAACAGCGTTTTTGCAGATTGTGTGCTGGTGGTGCCTGCGGTGTGATACGTGATTTGGGGTAGCTGCAATATTGGAGGGCTCATCTGGATTTAGCCATCCCATCAGGTATGCCGTGATGGTTGTAATGAAGGTGCATTATTAGAGTGAAATCTTGTGTCGGGATTTTGTATTGTGCCATCAAGTTCATATGCGAAAAGTGCAATTGGGTTTTTTAGTTACACGAGGATGTCGATAGTTATTAGTGTTTGAGAATGTGAATTGTACCATTGCCACTGGCACCCGATGGATGTATTTTACTGTACAGTTGGCGACATATTTAGTACGTGACCACGCGAGTTTTGTTACGTTTGTGTTTTGTTTAAATGGTGGCCGACCGGATGCCTTACTTTATACTTCCACCAATAATCTGATTACAAATATACTCACAGATGCAGACTGTACAGCTATCTTTTGGTACCGTTCACAGTGAAGGCTCGGGGTTCTAGGCAAATGCCCTCGGTCCCCTTGCTCCTCCCGGCAAATTCTTAGTTTCCTCCGCGATCCCATGGTGTGGCAATAATGAAATCAAAAGGACTTCCAGGAGTAGCATGGTTTTCCCGCGTATTCGGGTTCCCTCATGCCATTACAGTCGCCCGTCCCACGACCCCGGCCTCAGTGGAACTGCGCTCTCCCTTCAGCGAGAGCCTGCACTGTTCGCCACCGCCACACAGGGCTGCCGTGTCAATGCGTGGGTTTCCAGCGACGATCTCGGGCGCTGCCGGGGACGTTCGTTATGAATTGGTGCTGTGATCCCCCCTTTGCTCAAATGCTTGCGCCATCGGTGAGAGGAGCTACGCAGGGCTCCGAGCAATCTTAGTTCACGAGCTGCTGCAACGTCAGACGGCTGAAACGTCGCCCTGACTTGGGCGCGATAGGTCCTACTGGGTGCGGCAGGCCCTGACTTGGGTCGGCAGGCCATGGCTGGGCGCGGCAGACCCTGGCTGGGGGGTGGTTGGTCCTGGCTGGGTGCGGCAGGCCCCGACTGGGTGCGGCAGGCCAATGGCTGGGTGCGGCAGGCCCTGGCTGGGCGCGGCACCCTGGCTGGGTGCGGCCAGGCCTGGCTGGGTGCGGCAGGCCTAGCTGGGTGTGGTAGGT